GGGATGCAAATGTCTTCATCGTCTGGAGACTGCACAATTAAAGTCTGGAGCTTTGAAAAGGCCTGCTGCATCCACACATTCTCGGATCACACACAGGTTCTCAAAATTCTCTCTCCCCCTTTTTTATTGTTCTTCACAAACTTTACGTGTGTACCATAACAGTGGTGAAGTTCTAGCCAGTGCTTCCATGGATCACACCGTACGCATCTGGGACCTCGTCAGGCATGCCAAGATTGAAAGTATCTTTCCATTCAGATTAGCCTGACTCGTGTTGTTTTTTATTTTCTAGACGGTAAATGGCTGCATTTGGCAGCCTTACAACAGTATTCTTGCATGGCTTCCAGCGACAAAACCGTCTGCTTGTGGGACGCGCGCTCCTCTCTCTGTGTCCAAACGTCTTACGGCCACCAAAGCTCTTGCAACCACGCAGCTTTCGACCCAAAGGTAACTCTTCCCAAGTTATAAGCTCTTTTCGATCGAGTAATCTCCCACATGATTCTTGAACCTCTTTGTCTTGAACCTTCCAGGGGAGGGACGGTGGTGTCTATAGATGCAAATGGGATCGTAAAGATCTTCACAAAGTTGCCGAGTACGCCACCATCGACGTTGAGCATCAAATGGGAGCGTCCTCTTTCTCTCCTCCCTGGTTGCTTTCTTCCTTCTCAGTGACTCTATACGATCTGGCAACTTCCAAAGAGGTGGATCCAATTCGAGAGTTTCAAGGGCACACGGATGCCATCCAGGCAGTGGTGTTAGATCGAGCTGGGAAGTACATGGCTTCCGCAGGGCATTTGGGGGCCATAGCCATTTGACTTTTGTTGACTTTCGTGGACTAAAGGCATTCAAAAAGGGAATTGACTATATAGTTGAATGGATGCGCCAAATAACGAACAGGAGTTTTGCACAGCTTCTGCTATGGAAATTGGACAATCTCTGTCGTCAGTGGTGGGCGAGATGGGCGACAAGACGATAAGAGTGGAGGGGTGGGACTATTTCCTGCAGGGGATGGAGGTGGATGATCGGTTCATTGCATTTGTTGTGACGAGGGGCGATGTGGAAAGAATAGAGATGAATTGCAATAAAGTTTCAAGCTTTAGAGATCATGGGTTGAAGTTTTCAAAACTTTGGATGAGGACTTAATGGAGACCAAGATCAGCTTAATTATGGATTATTTTGAAATCTTAAATCTGAAAAAAGTCTAATTATGTATAATTTTCCTTTTTTTAATTATAGATTATGGCGATGCCAAGAGTGATGGTGGTGATCTCCCCAGCAAAAGAAGAAATTATCTAGTTTTGGAGCCTCAATCTTTCTTTGCTTGTATTTTTCATGGATCTAAAACTGTTTCCATTGCCAAGGACTTGGGTCTACCGAGCCAGCCCTCTTTCAGTCCCTCAAGCCGTCTTGGGCAATCACTGTCAAAACATTTGGGGCAAATGCACAATAAAAAAATTGATTAACATTTTAAAACCTTTACTCATAAAAATTATTTAATCTAAATCTAACTTGTCAAATCTTAAATCACCTTTTAAATAACCTTTGAGATTACTCAAAGGTTACAAGAGATCATTCCTTGAGCATGGCGGACAAATGGGAATGTTTTTGGCTTCCCATTTGTGCTTTCAAAAAGCTCTGTGTAGTCCATGATCAAGTGATTTTTTGACACACCCCAAACTTTGATCTGGCTCTCAATGAAATCATCATCCAAGGTCTTGAAATCTTCTACCCTTCGACCTCCGTGATCTTTAAAGCTCGACACTGTAGCGCAATTCATCTCTATCCTTTCCACATCGCCCCTCGCCACAACAAACGCAATGAACTGATCCTCCACCTCCGTCCCCTGGAGAAAATAGTGCCACCCATCTACTCTCATCGTCTTGTCGCCCATTTTTTCAGCATCATAATCTCCTATCCTTGAGACGACCATGGAGTATATCTCAGGCGAGAGATCGTCTAAGAATGAGTTATCCATCTCGAAAGCTGCCGAAAACCCTTGCTTGTTGTTTGGCATGGAGGAAGTCGTTCTTGCCAACCTTTCTTTTTAGGACATTCATTCAACTATATAGTCAATTCCCTTTTTGAAAGCCAACTAGTAAAGTCAGCAAAAGTCCATTATGGCCCCCATATGCGAAAGGTGCAATCACTTCCAGCCGAGACCATGTACTTCCCAGCTCGATCAAACACCACCGCCTGGACGGCGTCGGTGTGCCCTTGAAACTCTCGAATTGGAACCACCTCCCCGTAAGTTTGGAAGCTGCCAGATAGTATTAGAGTCACTGAGAAGGAAGAAAGAAACCAGGGAGGAAAAGAGAAAGAGGACGCTACCATTTGATGGTACTGTCGCTGCTTGCGATCGCGACGACGTAGCCACTCTTGTCTACCGCGCATTTGTTTGCCGGATGAGGCCCAACGTCGATGGTGGCGTACTCGGCAACTTTGCGAATGTCCCAGATCTTTACGATCCCATTTGCATCGACAGACACCACCGTCTCTCCCTGGAAGTTTCAAGACAAAGAGGTTCAAGAATCATGCGGGGTTATAGCTTTTCTGTGCATGAAGTGAGATTACTCGATCGAAAAGAACTTATAACTTGGGAAGAGTTACCTTTGGGTCGAAAGCTGCGTGGTTGCAAGAGCTTTGGTGGCCGTAAAACGTTTGGACACAGAGCGAGGAGCGCGCGTCCCACAAGCTGACGGTTTTGTCGCTGGAAGCCGTGCAAAGAATACTGTTGTAAGGCTGCCAAATGCAGCCATTTACCGAGTCTACGTGACCTCTGAGCGTGCCTCTACACTTCATGCTGACCAAGGCAAAGAAAAAACAAAGTAAAAATTACGAGTCAGTCTAGCTTTGCACGGAAAGAGAGTTTCAATCTTTGCATGCCTGACGAGGTCCCAGATGCGTGCGGTGTGGTCCATGGAAGCACTGGCGAGAACTTCACCACTGTTGTGGTACGAAACTCCCCAAACAGCCTGAGCAAACACGTAAAGTTTGCGAAGAACAATAAAAAAAGAAAAACAGGGAGAGAGAATTTTGAGAACCTGCGTGTGATCCGAGAATGTGTGTATGCAGCAGGCCTTTTCAAAGCTCCATACTTTGACTGTGCAGTCTCCAGATGACGAAGACAATTGCATCCCACTGCAAAGAGAAGAAGGCTAGATTTGAGGCTTGATTCTCGAGAAGTAAGAAGAAAAGTTTGGCACAACTTCGGATGAAAATCGATACCCGCCACCCAGCTCTTGTGTCCATCTCCGGTCATGATCAGATCACCAGCGGGAAGACCCCACATTTGCCAGGTCGAATCATCTGACGCCGTCACCGCAACTGGCTTCTTTGGATGAAGAACAACACTGCAAAAACCAATACAGTAAGTCTTCAACTTGGAAGGAGGAAAACTACTAGAAGAAAGAGTTACTAGAAAAATTGAAAACTATTAGAGAAGGCCATGATCTATCTGAGGAGACTTACTTGCTTATCGGCATGGTATGGCCTTTGAAAGTCTTCTGGAGCACGAAAGTTTTGACGACGGTGGGCTCTTGCGAGATAGCCGAGACGGCTCGAGGGATTGAGAGAGGGTCGGCGGCTCGGTAGATCTGGCCGGACATGCTGCTGCTCCTTGCGGCCATGTCCTTGGCGGACTTGGCCTTGCTCGAAACAGTGCCAGTTCCATAGGATGACTCGGAGCCAGATTCGGAAGCCGCAAGCTGCAAGAAAAACCTCTCAAAGTCTCCGAATTTTGCATGAAAAAACAAGCAATTACCAGTGCTTGAAGCCTGTCTCGCTCCAAAGCTATCATGGATTTGGTCCGCATTAACGTGTCGTATTTCTTCTTGAGCTCCCGGATGATCGGCTCGTACTGTGCATAGTGCTTCCTGAGCCTCTGGAAGAAAATGAAAAAGACGATAAGTTTGAGAAACTACGTTTTTTCCAACCTTGACGTCGACAATGAGCCTGTTTTTCTCTTGGGCGATGCGCCGGTGGTGCATACGGTGGACGTTTCTCTCCCTTCGGAGCTTCTCGAGCATTTCATGGCGGTATCTGCAGTCTGAAAGTGTCAAATTTAGGCCCAGATACAAAGATGCAATAGAGGAAACACAGGAAAGAAGAAAAATCAAAGAAGACAGAGCGATGATAAGAATGCCAGAGTTTCATACTGTGCCAGAAGATTTGCCTGCTTGAGCTGGTGCTGCAAACTGGTGAGAATTTCGTCCTGTTTCATGCTCCTCACGTACTCATCAGGCACGAGTCCAATCTGGCTGTCTAGAATTCGTTTCTTCTCTCGTATCTGGTACCATTCTGTCTAAAAAACAGAACAGGAGAAACAGTCACTGTGGAGAACAAAAGGAAGTTTTTTTGACTCACTTCGAATGTAGCTACTGTTTTTGTCATGCCCATCCGGATCAAAAAGTTCCTCACGAAATCGTCGGCAACTTCCGGCTTGCGCGTGACGGCGGCATCCGTCCCTTGCTTGCCTTTGCCTGGATCACGGAACTGTGTCCCAGAAAAAAAACACAAAAGGAAGGGCTTGTTCGTACCAAGCATGTAAGACAGCTTCTCGAGCGATCTGAGCGTAGCATCCAGATCCTCTGACTGCGTGTCGTCAGGCTCGGAGCCGCTATCAACTTCCACCTCCTCTTCGTAGTTGAAATCATCATCGCTCTCCTCTTCATTCTCTGCAACGAAAAAACATCCAAAACAATCGACACAAGATCAGCTGGAACACATCGGAGCGAAACAACCATACATACGAAGAGCAAAAAAAAAGAAAAAAAAAACCCAAGATCCACTACATTTTCTCAAGAAAAGCCCAGCTCAAAGCGATCGTTCGATCAAACGCAGCCAGGAAAAAACCAAAGAAAGTTTTACCTTCGCTCGCATTCGCGTTGTCAATCTCATTGTCGCCTTCGCTGCTCATCCCCGCGAAAGTTAAATAACTGTCAGCTCTAGAAGCATATTCCCCGCGATTCTCCTCCGTTGAAGTACATTTAGTCAACGGGGCTCTCATGATCGAGCAAGGTTTTGACTTTTCACTTTGGCTCCCTCTTCAATCAATCCGGGGAAGCGACCGAAAAATCGATCCAATCTCTCGAATTCTTTCTTGGCAATTCGCAGCGCTGGAGCTCCACCACCAATCGCGAGCGGCGGCGGCGATGCCGCCGGGATCCTCATCCTCTTCCTCGCCTCCGCCCTCGTCTTCTTCGTCCCCCTGCGCCGCGTGTAAGCTCTTGCGGCGCAAATGCACCAGAGAGTGCGTCTTTGCGCCTTACTTCTCCTCGAGCGAGCCGCAAAAGTTTGCGCAAGTCCACAAGATCTTCGGCGCTAGCAATGTGAGCAAGATGCTACAGGTAAGAACGAGAATTCGATCGAAAAAAAAGGAGAGATTTTTTCCGCTTTCTACCTCTTGATCTTTCTCTCCCTCCCAAGGAACTTCCCGTGGAGCGGCGGCGGGATGCGGTGGCGAGCATCGTCTACGAGGCCAACGCGAGAATCCGCGACCCTGTCTACGGCTGCCTGGGAGCGATCTTCACCTTGCAGCAGCAGATCGCCCAGCTCCGGAAGCAACTCTCGGCGGCCCAGTCGGAGATGGTCTTGCTCAAATTCCAGCACCAACATCGAGAACCTTTCCAACTTCAGCCTTCCACCACCGCCTCTTCTCTCCAAGAACAGCACCACCTCTACAAGGCAGTAGCGTTGCAAACACCCGATGATCACCACCACTATAGCAGGGACTTGATCGAAAGTAGCAGCGTCTGGACATCCTGACCTCTACGAGAACTCCTCCTAAAGAAAGATAAGCAATCCCTCCCTCCGTCTCTAAGTAGAAGAAGACTAGACTAGAGTCTATCAGCTAGAAGAACTCGAGAGAAAGAAAACTATGAAGAAGAAAGAACTTGAGGAAGAACTTGAGGAAGAACTACGAGGAAGAAGAACCCACCAAGACACCCTGCGCGGCAGCACCAGCGACGGCATTTTGATTCTTGGCCTGTTCTTCGTCCGCTACTTCATCCGCCCTCCTGATCTTGATCTTATACTTGGCCTCAAACTCGGCGATTTCTCGCTTCTTCCTCTCCAGCGCCTCCGCCAGGCGCTTGATCATGTCCTCCAGCCCCTCCCTGTTCCTCTGCACGGCGGGCAGGACCTCGCCCACCGTGCGCTCCACCAGGACGCCGCCGATCAGCCGGAAGCACTTCCTGGCCGGATCCAGCGGCTTGATGGCGCCGATGACTAGGGCATGCTCGCTCAGCTCCAGCTCCATCTCCGTGACCTTGGAGTGGAGCTGGTTCAGCTCTGACCTCATGAGGCTCCACCGCGATGCCACAGCCTGCTCGCTGCCGAGCTCGCCGTCGCCGCCCTCCGCCATCGCCCGCAAGAGCCCTAAAAATGGAAGAAATTTAACTGTGGTTTTTAACCCTTGGATGATTTTAACTAATACTTTTTTACCCTTTGTATACTAGAATTAGGGTTTTATTGTCCATTAAAGTTCTTGGGCTGATTTTCCAATGGCTTCTTCCACTCCAGAGGAAATCTCTAGTGTGAAGAACTCTATCACATCCAAGGGCTTGAACAGGGCACTCAAGGTATTATCAGCATTGGCTTCTTCTCTCAAAGATAGATCTTCTTTGAGGTCGAAGAAGCAATGCTTTACAATTCGATCCTACGAAGTTGGGGCTAACAAGACTGCCACAGTGGAGACTATGATGAGCTTGCTTCAAGTAAGTGGTGATCATATATAAAACTTGCAAAGAAACTTTGGGATCATAGCAAAACTTTGGTTTCCAAATTCTCTTTTTTTCTACAGGAGTCTGCAGTAAATCATATGTCCAGGACTGACGGATTTAGCAAGGATGGAATTTGGACGAGCCCGAGCATGAGGAGGAATAGTGTAACCTGGGTAGTAGCGTTTATCCATCTCAAAATCGATACTTATCCATCTTGGTAAGCAAAGTTCTTTAAACTATATGAATTCATGGCTTTGATTTAATAGGAATGATATCGTGGAGATTGAAACCTGGACGAGAGCTTTGGGTGACAGGCTTGGCATGCACGGAGATTGGCTGATCAAAGATCAAAACACTGGCTCAATTTTGGCCCGGGCAACGAGGTAATCTTTTCTCTTTTCATATTAGTGAAATAATTTAAACAAGAATGCTTTAGCACTTGGCTGATGATCAACACCGAAACAAGGAGGTTCTCCAAGATTCCCTACGAGGTATGGAACGAGATCATGCCCTTCTTTAACGAAGAGTCTCGAGCTCTCGGAGAAGATGGCGATCCTTTAGACGACATAGAAGAAATCGTTGCAAGCCAAGCTGAATACGTTCGATCTGACCTGAGAGTAAGCTCTAGTTTGCTGAAAAACATGTTTGAAATCAAATTTTGCGAGAACATTTGCAGGCACACCACAATGATTTAGACATGAATCAACACGTGAACAACTCGAGATACTTTCGTTGGCTTTTAGAGGTCTTACAATGCATCAAATGTTTCTTTGAACCCTTGTAACCTTTGATCCTTAGGCTGTTCCACCGTCCGTACTAAAGAGCCATGAACTTGCGCGAGTGACCCTCGAATTCAAGCGGGAGTGTCGCGAAGCACAACCTGTACGGTCTCTGTGCCGTCTCAAGAGCCAAACCCCAACCGGTGTGGAGTTCGTACACCGTTTGCTACTGCAAGACCGTGGCTCTGAGATACTCCGGGGCCAAACTTTGTGGCGGCCCACAAACAAAGCCAAAATCTAGAGAGAGAAATCTTCACAAAGAAATGATGTGCCTTTAATTTTATTGCATCAGTCAAATGTGGGCAACGCATCGAAGACGCATGGTCGGACTTGAAGAAATATAAGGTGGAAAAGTGATCACTCCTGAATTCAACATTTTCCACAAACCCTCTGTACGGTGGACAAAGTGTGCTTCATAATTAACCATTTTATTTTATTAATAATTTAATTGATTTATAAATTGATCAATTCATATCAATTCACGCTGAGTTGATTGATAAATTCAGGATTTGTTTGATCAATTCAGGAGTTGATTGATCAATTGATGACTAATCAACTTAATAAGATGAATTTATATGAGTTTGTCCTTGTGAAGTGGCCTGTGGATCTGTGGCGACCAGAAGGTGGCTGAACCATATGCGGTGACGATTTCAGGTGTGCATGTGGCTGGGCCATGTCCCAGCCTCCCTTGCTCAGATGTGGATCCCTTTAGGTGAGTGTACTGGAATTGTTTTTTAGTCTTAAAATTTGTGAGAACTGCATGTTATGTGTGTAGGCCAAGATTGACTGAAATGTCATTTGCACCTATGCTTCATTATGGTGTTTCAGTTCAAGAAATTGCAAACATAGTGCAAGTTCATTAGTGTATCTTACATAAACTAAGAATCACCACAAAAGTTCATCCCCAGTGCAAAAGAGAGCAAACACTAGACAAAATGTAAATCTTTACAAGAGAAAAGACTGTCAACTCTATTCTTAAAAAAAGCCTCAAAAAGAGCACGAATTCCACAGCAATCACCATGCTGCCCCATTGGCGCTCAGCCTGAGTACTAGTCAGCCGCCATTGCTGTATGGCAACCGCACTAGGGCCAGCAATAATTTTGCAAAACCCTTACTCATTATATCTTAAAATTTAAATTAAATATAGTTATTAATATATTTAGCTGTTTTTCCCTTAATTTTTCTTATTTTGAAATTAACTAATATCAATATCAAATGTCATCAACGACCTTAAACTCATCAACCGACTCAACCAACTCGTGAAGTGATCAATCAACTCGTGAATTGATCAACAAACTCATGAATTGACCAATAAACTAATGAATTGATCAATCAACTTATCAAATGATAAATTCATAAATCAATTCAAATGTAATCAAATAAAATGGTTAATTATGCATCTCGAGGCTTCTGCTGCATCAAAGTGTTCTTATGCGGAATGAAATTCTCTTCATGGGAATCTTCCCTGAAATCAAGTTTGTGGAATCAATGTATCATTGAAACCAAGAACAGCAATACTAGCACTTCGAATTCATAGCAGCTGCCTTTTTAGTACTCTTTAAGTTCTCAGTCGAGATCCGTCAGCAGCTGATTCTCCACCTTTCTTGCGACTTGCATGACAGGGTAGTGCGAGCCATATGCCGCCAGAAACTGTCCATAAACGTAGTATGTGTTGCTGTTTCCGCGACCATTTCCAAGGGTTTGGCTCAGGGCCAGCGTTGCCCCATGGCGCCTGAGTGGCGGCCAGGAAGACTGCATGCTCAACAATTGAAGGCATTTTCTTTGAAATTCTTGCTCTTTGGTGATAGTTTTTTATTTTTATTTTCTGAAAAATGAGGCTTTTTTACTTGTAGAGAGGGTTTTTGTGCTGCATGGCTGCCACCAGCAAGGTATTTAGACATTTGAATTTTTTTTTCATTAAAGTTGCGGTTCTCTTGTAAAGATGAACTTTTGCAGTGATTTGAAGTCTCTGCAGCCAACGAGAAAAGAGTACAAAGACTAACTTGCATCACATTTGCAATTTCTTGGACTGAAACACCATAGTGAGCCTACGTGTACTTAAGCTAATTGAACTTTGAAATCAAACCAAATATACTTATTGTTAATAAGATAAGGTTATCAAGGTCGTTGACTAGACTACTTGAAATAGTTATTGAAAAATGAGAAAACCTCACAAAGAAATTGAATCAAGTAAAGAGAAAACTTGAAATAGTGATTGAAAAAAGAGTGATTGAAACTTGATATGGTGATTGAAATTAACAAAGAAATAGTGATTCAGCTTTGCAGCCTAAACAAAATTCTTGCAATAAAACCGAAAGCTCCATTTTGTTCCTTCCAATTCTTGCTTTTGTTGGCTTGCATTTGATTGCTAGTCAGGGTTTAGGGTTCTACTTTGCCCTGATTGAAATTAACAAAGGAGTAGTGATTTAGCTTTGCAGCCTAGACAAAATTTTTGCAATAAAACCGAAAGCTCCATTTTGTTCCTTCCAGTTCTTGCTTTTGTTGGCTTGCATTTGATTGCTAGTCAGGGTTTAGGGTTCTACTTTGCCCTAAATATTGGAGGGACTTAAGTTGTGGCTGTCCGTATTCCATGACGTAGTGTGGCTGTGAGCCTCATCCTTGAGATCGCAAACAACGTGAATAGATAGGACATGTATGGATGCGCCGCAGTCACGCGCGCCATCACCCTTCGCAACGGCCTGACACGTGGCAGTATCGCTCGAATATCCGATATATTTTGTTTTGTTTTTTACTTTCGTTGTTCCTTCAAGGGCTCGCAAAGCCTTCACCTAGTGTAGCGTCGGAGCTACGACGCATCATTGCCGTCCATGCAGTATGATACAAGCGAGCAATACAATGATGGAAAGCTTTTGTCGCGAGTGGACGGTGGGGATGGGCTGGAATGGGAAATGTGGGGACTGCGTGGCCAACGGATCCTTGCGGAATGGGCGAGCGGATCAACGGCCTGGATTCGCCCGAGATCTTTGCGCTCGAGCTGGCGCGCCCGTGGCCGTGGATGGGGCAACATGGACGACTGCGATCTGGGCATTGGCGGAGAGCGCTGCTGTGGGGGAATGGATATTGTGAAAGACGCGAGGGAATCTTACATTTCTATACAGGGGTGAATAAGTTTTAGGGTTCCTGTTCTCCAGGTCTTCTTTCTTGGGGGGAGAATTCTCCCTGTTGATGCGATTCTTGTGGGATTTTGAGCTGGAGCATTCGATCGCAGGCAGCGGCGGATGAATTTGACTCACAGGATGGATCGTAGCTTGGATCTTG